ACATCGCTTCATTTATAGAGAGCCGTCAAACTCGTTCGTTCTTAGGATGGTTTGCAAATTGTTGAATCGGAAATATGTTGAAGAAATGATTAGTTCGAGGTGAAAAAGAGGAAATTCACATAAGTTTCGGTGATTTTTGCAGATTTCTTAAGATTGTTGACTTTACATCAGAGGCGCTACATTGTCGTTCCATAATTCATTGATATGCTCCTATTGAATCGAATCAGTCGAGTTAAAATCTACTGGTTTGAAGATGTGCAAATTGAAGTTTGGTGTGGATCATTGCATGAATTTTAAGGTAACGAGATGATAATACGCGGCCGTGATTTTATGAATGAAACAACTAATACACAACGAAGACTGAAAGCGATCGAAGCAGCTCGTGAGTTGCTAAAGGCTGTGGCGAGATTATTAATTATGGCTGATATGGTGGATGTTCATCTGATTTTAATGAATATTGCTCGAGTGAGTTTTTATGTTTCATTATTTTGATGTTGCTGCAGTTAAATTCGAGACGGTTCCCTTATCATAAATGAATAGGCGATGGATTTATCGCAAGCTTCAATTTCGGAAGGTTGATGATTTTCAAAGCTGTGCTGAATGCCGTCGGCTGCTTGGGCTGAATCAAAAGAGAGATTCGAATCAAAAAAATTCAGTTGCACAATGATAATAGCCAACTTATGATTTATCACAGTTGTGCATATTCATGTGATTGATTGAGATTAAGTGAAAAAGCAATAATTTAAAGGCGAAATCGGCGCTGGACAGTATGCAAGTAGCAGAGTCGAAGCAAGAATTAGCTGAGCGATACAGCGCGTTGAAAGCTGAGTTAGAAGAACTGAACGAAACAACTCGACGTCGAGTATCGAACCTCAGGGAACTGTCCGAACAAGATGATTTACAAGCCGCCAGAGCATGGCTTAAAGTGAACTCGACTCTCATGTACACTTCATCCATTGTAAGCTTTTATTTATTGTCTCTGATGGTCATTATAACGCGCATTTTATCACTATTATTTAAAAGTTGTGTCAATTTTTGGAAATTTTTTTAATAGCAATGTTCCCCATTTGCTTGCGATTAGATTATAATGAGAGTTTAATTTGTGTTGGCAACTGGATGTGATCAAAGCGATAAGTAGTGCTTGTTCAAGGCATACATCCGTCATCCAGAAGTGGATCAAATCCGTTTGAATCGTGATTTTGCGCATTCGGAAATGAGTAAAGCACTACAAGCGATTGCTGAGGTACTGGAGGGGAGAAACAGAAGCGGTGATATTGGTTTGTCGCATCTTGGACGTATTGGTGACCTCATCCATGAATTAGATCAGTTCCAGGTTTGTTTTCAGCAAATTGCTCTTATTTTGTGTTGATCACTTGAATATCACCCATTATTTGTTGGAGTTGACAATGTACATTTAATGAGGAATTCGGATGCAATTGCTTAGTGCAATGCAAATATGAGATTGTATTCTGTTGCTGATAATTTGATGTGGTGATAATGATATTATTGAATGATGCAAATAGTTGAGCATTGAGCAGCAGTAAATATTGAAAATTTTAAGAACCGCGTTTATATGGAACCAAGCGCGTATCGTGCGCATATTCATCGTCCGGAACTGGAAGAGTTGCTGGAACGGATTGTGAGTGGAGCGGCCGTGATAGCGGACTCAGAGAACACTCGAGACGATCGTAAGAAGAAAATTGTTGATGAGTGTAATAATCTACGACAAGCATTACAAGATCTTTTGAATGAGTACGAAAAAAATGTTCGTTTTTTTTNTTTTTTTTGATCGTATCGTATTGAATTTGATTCTATTGTATGTCTAAATTTTTATTTGTTAGTCAGTGTGTGCTTCCAACCTTTGGCTTTAATCATTCGAGATTGTTTCTACTCAAATCTGAATGGTGTTCTCCAAATTTCGGAAGGGACTGTATTTGACGGATACTTTTGCTGGTGCTTGCAATGATATAATATTGACACGATGCCTTCGAGTTGGATATTCGGAAATGTTCGAATATTCAATAAAGCATTTGAGAAGAATTTTTGAATGGATTACAGGCTGGACGTTATGATGGCTCAGAAGAGTTGGATTTGGCGATGGTGCATTTGGGACATAAAACGAAAGACTTGAAGCGACATTTGCGACGCGCAATAGTTGATCACATCAGTGATGCGTTCCTGGACACAATGACTCCGTTGATGATGCTGATCGATAGTGCGAAAAAACACGATCAACCCGCAACCATTCATAATGGAAAACTTTTCTACGAACACGCACAGAAACTGGTTCAAGTTCGTTGGTTTACCTCGTTGTTTGTCATTCACTTCATCGTTGTGTGCTTTCAGTAGTTTCAGATTTTAAAACATTTTAAATGGAAGTGATGATTTTTGCAGGTGGCAAATTTGGCTTGTCAAATGTCGAACAATGAAGATGGAGTTAGAATTGTGCGATTTGCAGCCATTCAAGTTGAGAAATTAGCACCGCAGGTCTGAGTTGTTGAAATATTTCGAGTAGTCTCATTTGAGTGGTGATCCATGGCATTGGTCAGTTATTAATTGAATTGTGTGTTAAGGTTGTGAACGCAGCGTATTT